AGAGGAAAGTTTTTTCTTGTTTTGAGGTCCTAAGTTCATATTTTAAGTTAGGGCACTTTACCCTGAAACACCCTGTTTCACACCCTATTACTATAGTATAAAAATTTTTGATTATAAAATCTGGACAGGAAAATATTTTATGAATATACGTTTGAAACACAAACGTCCATCTTTGTAGTACATCTTTGTATTATATAAACAAAAAAAATATATATACATATATGTCACACAATGCACTATGTAATTCAAAAGTGTTGTAACATGTGAAAATTATGTTTTCGCGGTTATTATGGATCATGTTTATTAGGCTGTAAATTATAAATTTGCATATTCATTCGTAATCACATTTTCCTCCACGCATCAATTGGTATGACATCTTGTTAGCAGATGTCGCTACAGTATAATATTCAATTTCCAAATGTGACAACAGTCGAAATTATAGGTTTCCATCTGCTCTTTGGAAAGTTAAACATTAACAGCGCGGCATTCAGGGGCTCAAACAACCTATAGTATAGACTGCACAATTTCTATTTGCTCGTATATGGAACATGATCCTCAAAAATTAGGATGGCAAGTAATCGCAGATTACTTCTGTCTTTATTAAACAGATGCAAAAGCTTCACTAATCAGAATTCTTCAATGTCGCCAGCGGTAATTAACAACGTCAGTGATTTCTTGACCATACCTGACATCATTAATGATACAAAAACTCTTTTGCGACAAATATTACCTCAGCCAGGGTTTGAACCTGGACCTCCCTACACTCTAGGCGGGCGTATGTGGCTCGATGGTCAAATTGGTTGAGATGCCAGCCTAGAGTGAAGGGAGGTCCAGGTTCAAACCCTGGCTGGGGTATAACAATCCTCATGTTTAAAAAAGGAGATAAGAAAGTACCAGGGAACTACAGAGGCGTAAACCTCAACGCCACGCTGCAATTACTCACAAATTAATAAAAATGGGCAACCACAAGATCACAATACTGTGCTATGCGGACGATGCAGTCTCTCCAGAGGTTACTATATAGATTCAATTTAGTAGCCAAAACGTTCAACATAACGACATCTGCCTCCACAACAAAATGCATGACCACAGCCGAAACACCCTTAAGGGGATGCTGGAGTGATTCTGCACTTTTGCACCTTTCTAACCTAAAAACTGTCAGTTCGCGGAATCATTTGTGTAATATACAAATTAAATGGCTTACGTCTATAGATCGAAAGCAGCTTGCTATTCCGGCCAAATGAAAGAACAATATGACATCACTGAAACTAAGTTTGTAAGTCTAATAAAAAATAATAGTGAACAACACATACATACAGTACATGTAGTATGTGTGTTGCTCACTATTATTTTTTATTAGACTTACAAACTTAGTTTCAGTGATGTCATATTGTTTTTTAATTTAGCCGGAATAGCAAGCTGCTTTCGATCATCTGTACACGTGCCATTTAATTTGTGTATTACACAAATCTTTCCACGAAACAGACAGTTTTAAGTGCAAAAGGTGCGAAAGTGCAGAATCACTCCAGCATCCCCTTAAGATGCAAATTAATGGCAGACGAGAGAATCATACAACAGGAAATGAAATTCAAATACCTAGGCATAGAATTATCAGGATTCGGCGATGTGGAAGCAGAGAGGTGAGACAGCAGACAGCGAAAGCAGCAAGAATGGCGGGATGCCTGAACGATACAATATGGAAGAATAAATACATTGGGACCGAACTGCGATAAGAGCATTAATGACATACACGGCGGAGAGACAAGATCATAAAGCCATACCTGTAAAGCTTTAACAAGCTAGACTCGCCTAAAATCAGCCAGATGCAGCCCAAACAAAAAGATTGCTGGAAACGAACGAAATGAGAATACTCCGCAAAATCGCGGGGAAAATATTGTGGGATAGAGAAAGCAGCGAGGTTGTAAGGAGAACGTGCAACATAGAAAACATTAACGAATGGGCTCATAAAAGAAAGATTGAATGGAATGAATACGTCAGTCGGACGGACGAGGGAAGAATGATCAGAATAGCTAGGGAGAGATCACCAATGGGAAGAAGGAGCCCGGGAAGACCGCGAAAAAGATGGAGCAATAATTAACCTCGCCACCCACTGATGCCACGCATAGGGGACGAAGAGAAAGCAGGCTTAGGCCTAAACTAAAGAAGGAAGAAGAAGAAGAAGTAAATAATCTAGATACGCATTTGTTTATATTTTCTGGCGGAAGATTCTTTTTTAAAGTAATAATAGAAATAATGCTTTTCTTGTAATATTAAAAAACCAAGTATTTTCCCTCTGGTGATATTTTACACTGATTACGTGGTTGACGCGCATTACCTTGCAATTAACTTGCAATCCATGCAATTAACATCGCAAAGATTAGAAACGATAAACAGACAACACGTTGGAGGCAGATGGAATCGGCGCAGAAATTGCTCAAGGCTGATTTTATGCGAGTTTAGATTGTTAAAGCTTTATGGCTTTATGGTCGTATAGTATAGCACGTGTGTACGAACAATTAAAGTGTACGATGATATTTACAATATTATACACATTCACACACGAGGCATTAAAACTTGTTCGCTTAGGAAGGCGACGTACACAAATCTTGCCATTATTAAAATGGAATTACGCATGTCAGAACATAATCAATCAAGATACTAATATTTAATTAACAAATTTTCTACTCCTATTACACAAACATTGCTTGTGTAATGATACGAACGATAAAGTAAAGGTTACATTGTCGGACGCAAAAAACTTTCGCAATGAAAATTATATTGCAAGTGCGACGGTAGAATACGTACAATTTCGCAGCTGCGGGTTTTCACATAGAAAATACAGTCTCTGAACTTGTTGCATCGGGATTCCCTATCATTATTGTCTCAACTTGTGCTTTTGATAATTGCATTATCGTCGAGAACCATGAGAACGACGAAAGCTGACGAAATCCTAAAACTACACATTTCAAAGCTCACAGGAAACAATCTACGAACTGTACACCATGTCAACGTAACATTCGTCACGAATATTAAATATTTCACGTGCGATAACAGATGAACGTGCGTTGACAGACTGCACCGATTGCCTCTTTATTGCGCCCTTTCTTTTGAGCTGTACACTGAGTTATACATTACCGGTCAAAAGTTTGATATTGCGCATAAAATTTAAAAATATTTTACTTAAAAATCTAAATTGCTTCACTCAATATCGTCTTTCTTCATTTGAAAATAAAATAAGCATTATATTTGGCATAGTTGCGATTAATCAAGCATTGTTTAATTTCAAGACAATAAACCACGGTCAGAATTGCGGTAAAGCTTTCTTTCCAAAATTGAGCCTTTTAAACAAAGAATCTTCCGCCAGAAAACATAAATAAATTTGTATGTAGATTATTTACATTAATAAAAAGAGATTAAATATGAGAGACACCACTTAAAAAAAAGTCCACTATTTTTTAGTACTTAATACTTTTTCATATAAAAGAAAATGTTTCTCGTAGAACTTTCAAATGTTTTATCACGTTTCAATATAAAACAACGAATAAAGTACTAAAAGTATATTAAATTTTAATGCACAGATTTGATTTCATTTCGTACAGTAAACTTTTCCAATCGATGGTGTCAAACTTTTACTCGATAGTGTACATCATATCAATACAGCGTCTGTCACGAATGTTAAATATTTTATATGCGGCAATAATCGGTTCTCTTATTGCACCGATTTCTTCGTCATTACGTCCTCCTTTTTCCGGATTATAAGCGGTTCTATTGCGGATGGAAATATACGCGCAAACAAATTACGGTGCACAGATAATCGGTACTGTCGACAATCCCGAAGGGATCTATTTGCAATCGCTCAGCGAATACAAAGGCGATTAGAATGCTCTTCGTCATTTTGTGCATCTTTGCAATATCGCTCAACACCGCATACTCTCGTCGGATGGACGATGTGATCTTACAATTTCTCGTTGATGCAACGCCCGTTTTATTATCGCCATTGAGGATATCTTTACATACGTGCATCGGTTATGGCAAGATGCATTTCCGAATTTACATTTTACGCTTTGAAACTCTTAAAAAACACGACAATTAAAAAAGTTAATAATACGTACAATAATAAATATAAATATACTTTGAGGAAGAAAAAGAAAGAGAGATTTTTTAATTTTAATGTAGAACATCATATAAACTATCATGTTGTCATAAACTTTGCGACATCATGGAATGGAATATGTCGTGATATTGCTTTAAAATCATGATGACTTCATTCTTTTTCACGTGAAAAAAAGCATATAAAAATATTGAAAGAATTTTAATTGATTTTTCTCTTCCTTCTTTCAGAAGATACGATTAGATTGTCGAGAGAAATGTCGAACCACCGTTTGATCCATGGCATCCATAATTTCGTTAAGGATATCAAAGAGCGCATTCACGATAATTTGGAACATCAGAATCTCTACATGCTGGACCTGGACTGCGATTACGCTATAGAACTTTTACGACAGGTACCGTCTGTCGTGAGCAAGTTGTGAGCACAGATTACAATTTCTATGAAAGTGGCATCGCATCTTAACAAGTCGAAAATTTTATTAACAGTCCTGTCTGCATCCATAATATTTTCATATATCCTGACAGATTTTAGAAATAATTTTCTCCCCGTTAAAATAATTGTTAAAAAATTAACATCCGAAAAACATGAAATAATTTCTCACGTGGCATCTCATGTGCCGAAAAAAGTAGTTTTAATTAAAAAATTCTAAATGTGCGAAACTTTCTGTAATTTCTCATGTATTTTATCAACAGTTATTAATATCGTATAAGGTGTCAGCGCTGAAATTAAAAATTTATTTAAAAATACTTAAAGGCCAAAATTATTAATAAAAAGTATTGATATTAATGGAACTATGAGAAAACTGTGGAGAACTGTCCAAATTAACGATGGTACTGACCAGCACTACTATGTATACTAAAATGTGAAGTCAGCGTTCAAATTAAAATGTTTCAGGAACTGAACTCTTTTAAAACCGCAGAATTTCACAATGAAAATTATTTTCTCTTAAATATGAGGCACAACGAGAAATTAGCATCTCATATTATTTAAATATCATTTTTTACAATGTAAACGGAACAATTTTGAAAAACTATCGAGAACTATCGTAGATGCAAATAAAACTGTTGAAAAATTTTGATTTTGTAAAGTGGGATGATAATTTTAAATACGCAAATAGATATACATATTGGGGATTAAAACAATCGAGAAAGTAAAGGTGCAGTACGACTCTCCATCACTCACTGATGTTGAAATTTTTGCCGCAGACCTACAAAGTTTACTCGCGGTTATTTAATGAATTTAAATTACAGTCCATCGTTAATAAAACAAAAATCTTTAACGTCCCGACCTAATGGTGTATAAGAATTGCAGGAAATTCTTTCGTCATTCGTTTAAATTAATTAATTATTACCTGACATTACGCAATAGGCGCATTCGAATAGAATGTTTATCGCTCCAACGAAGTGGCTACTTCTTCAGGATCGAAGAACGATGATTGATAATTCCAACATAACTTCTACATATAACAACTCGATACTGGATATCTTTGAAGAGCTAGCTGTCTATCCTGACAGTGATGTGATTCTCGCTCGCAGGCTCAACGGGGACTTTTTTCAAATAAAGTCGGTGTATCGACCGAGTCCACAACGAGCAGTGATATGGGAAAATCGCGGGAATTGGACAGTCAAGGACGGTTTGCGAATGAGTACTTTCGATGCGTCTTCAGCGCGGAGAAGAAATCTGCAACAAACGGCCCTTAAATCCTGTCTCGTGGTACATTGATCGTGCAAAAAGAAACGCACTTATTATATCAATGATACATGATTTTATTTACAAGCATTTAATAAAATATAATTAATATTAACATATTAATGTATACCTACATTTAAGTATATTTTTATTTTATTCTAATAAGAAAGTAGAAAAAAAATGTTGCAACGTAGCTCAGACTTTAAAACTCATTGCGTAGGGATACATTTTTCACCTTTGCAGATGTCATATCCTGATACGATGAATCACTTGACTGATTTTATGCATAATACCCTGGATCCTATGACAAAGGTTAATTATATCTGGGTACACCATTTAATGAACCGCATAAACGCAACGTGAGTCTTGCTCTCCTGATGGTAAAATATACCGAGATCCAAATCTTTATGAAGTAAATTTTATGACGATAAAACGAAGTTGTATCAATATGTATCATTTATTAATTAAGCTTAATGATCAAACAATTATACTTATAGATGATATAGAAATAATTGTGAATTAGTTTCAATTATAAGTGCGTGAAAGAAGCCGACCATTTCACTGTTTTTAGCATACGTTATGCATTAGTCAAAATAAAGTACGACCGAGATTTAACGTACGAAAATACCGTCACAACGTTAAAATAATATACTTGAGTTGATTGAATGAAACTTTGATTGAATAAAAATTGAGTGATTCTTTGTACAAAGTAACGAGACGTGCCCAGTGAGAAATGATTCGTCGATCGACGTCGAAACGACACCGTCGAATTGACGTCGATTCGACATCATTTCGACGTCGATCGACGAATCATTTCTCACTGGGTGAATGTTGGAAATCGATGTATTACAATTTCGTATTCTTCAATTATACATGGTAGGATAACGTTCAACGTTGTGTATAAGAACTGGGGACGTAAAACTAAAAATGGATCTTGGGACGGGATGGTTGGGATGCTGCAGCGACGCGAGATCGACATTGGCGGCACTGCTATGTTTATCCTGGATGAGCGTATTCCTATAGTGGAATACATTCATCTGTATACACGCACTAAGTAAAATTGCTTGTAAAATACAATCAGCCAAATCTTCGATTACTATTACATTTTATGCAAATGCATTCTCGCAAATAAATAAGGAGATAAATGCAAAAAGTGAAAACTCTGAAATCCTTCACGTCAAATGTATCTCTTATACAATTTTTGCATTACTGTGACCTCATCCATACTTTTTTCCCTTTTCATGAAATTGGCCATCATACGAATAACTTAATTTATTTTTGATAACTCTGCAACTCTATGGACATGCGGAAGTGTTATCAAGTAAGAATGCGAAAAAAAACTTTTATGAGCCTGTGCTTCAATACAATATAATTTCAACTAGAATATTCTTAAGGTTGCCAGTAGTAATTAACAATATTGGTGATTTTGTTGACCGTATCTGGCGATTAAAATTCTTATTGCGAAAAATATTACCCCAGCCAGGATTCGAACCTGGGACCTCCCTACAATCCGTGAGACGCCCGTCACGTTCGAATCCTGGCTGGGGTAATATTTTTCGCAATAAGAATTTTAATCGCCAGATACGGTCAATATAATTTCAACTTAATTTTTCTTTTAAATAAAATGTTTGTTAATGATTTTTTGAGGTTCTTGCCAAGTTTATCTAAACTCACTCAAAGAAGACTTTGGAAAAATTTCCATGTTTTTAATATCGATCTCGCGTACTCGCGTAAAGATACACGGTCGGTCTCGCGCGGTATTCGCTACTTATACTTGGCGTGAGACACAACCGTGTGTAAAAAAAATTGTAACTATGTACTTATTATATTAATAACATCATGAGTAATATTGGTCAATCTTCCCTATCCTTCCTATCTGCCCTATTAAATATTTATTTTTAATTTTAGTTTCTATTTTTCCTATCATACCACCTTTATTTCTTATTACTACTGTGTTAGAGATCTATTATAATATAGACATATTATAATATAAATGTCTAATAAACTATATAATATTGTCACAACAACACGTAATCTTTTATATAGATTGTGTTTCATTTTTCGACGGCCCTTATTGTCGACCATGAAAAATATCTTCATCATGCCCTTTCAACAAAGTGTCTGGATAGCAATCGCCGCATTTCTTGTTCTTGTCTTCTGCCTATTACACTTATCTATAAAATGGGAACATTACCGAGGCGCTTCGAAAACATCGGCAGCTTACTGGAATCAATTGAATAACAGTAAACCAACAGTTACCGATAACCTGTTCATCGTTTTAGGAGCAGTTTCACAACAAGGTACAATCTAATATGAAAGCTTCGCAATCCTCGACTCGTGAATTAAAGTGTATCGAAAGTAAACTCATAAAATACAATAGAAACTTCCCATTTTCAAAGCGTCTGGAAACTCAGTTATTTTCCTAATCTGGAATCTCTGAATGTGCACTCTTACAATTAGTCCAGTGCGCGAAATTAGACTTTTATATTCTCTGTTTCTTCTCGATAATCATCTGATTGTGTAGCAAATATAAAAGTTCGGACGCAAGAAAAGAATACCAGCTTAAAATTACAGAGCGTTATTTTAGCAAAAGTGTACGTTCAGTGTATAAGAATAAACAATAGAGGGAATTGTACTGCTACTGTACATTTGCAGGTTATTCGTATGAGCCATATAGAGTCCCATCCCGAATCATCACTCTTATGTTACTGCTGACCTCACTGAACCTTTATGCGGCTTACACGGCGAATATTGTGGCTCTTTTGCAGACTCCAACAGATTCGATTAAAACCCTCTCCGATCTCTTACATAGTCCGTTAACTCTCGGATCATACGATTTACCGGTAAACCGATATTATTTTAAGGTAAATAAATCTAAGTTTTTCAATTTTAGAACGAAGAATTAAATGATGGAAAATTATAGAGAGAAATAATTTGCTTTCTATTACAATATAGAATACGAATTTACAAGATCCCGTCAGAACAGCGATTCTGCAGAAAGTTGATAGCAAATCGAACTGGATAAGCCTGGAAGAAGGTGTACGCCGCATACAAACCGAGTCTTTCGCGTTTCATGGTACACGAAGCCCGATATACACAATCGTACAGCAAACCTACCAAGAAAACGAGAAATGTGGCTTAACTGAGATGGATTATTTGAGTCAAATATACCCACTTCTTGCAGTACAAAAGCAATCGCCTTACTTGGAGTTGATAAAAAATGGGTGAGATTATTTCGACTTGTCGTATATTCAGATGTGAACTCATTTGAGAAAGATAAAGTTCAGCATAAGTCTTTTGTTAAAAACTGCGTAGTACTTCGAACATATATTTGCAATACAGTTTCA